AATTTTATATACAGGACTTTCAGGAAAATACTATTTGAAGAAAGATTTCTCTTGCAAAAATAACCTCTATTACTGTAGAAAGTCTACCAAAATATTTCTAACGTGAACAGATAAGTCTGATAAAAAAAAGACAACTTTGGAAAAGATAAGTGAAAATTATAGGGTACATGTGAGCCCATGATTTGAAGATGTTTGCAAAGCTAGAAGATTAGACAATATGCACTTTTCTGACAATTCTCTTTGAGCATCCTGGGGTCCAATTAGTGGTTAAATAAATTAAAGTACCTTCGACAGGTAAACATTTATGTCTGCTATAAACGATGATGTCTCACATTTGATTATCGGGCCCATATTTTAATGGATTATTTCCACTTGACAAAAATTGTTGCTATTTTTCTTGTGTTTTGATTTTGCCATATATGACACAGACAAAAAAGGGAGTAAATAAAATGTTACATATGCTTTGAATATGAAATTTTCCCATATTCCATTTCAGTTTTTTATTTAAAGACTGCTAAACTTTGGATATGGTTTGTTTGTGTCCCCCAGGGGTTCATGTGTGGAAAGCTTGTGGCAATGTTGAAAGGTGGTGAAACTCTTAAAGGGTAGGCCTCAGTGCAAAGTAATTAGGTCATTGTTGAGCTCAGCATGGATCGATACTGGCCTCATGAAGTGAGTTAGTTGTTTGCATTACAGTGAGTTGTTATAAAAGAGCAAACCTCATTCCTGAATTCTCTCTGGTTTCATATCTTGCCAGGTGATCTCCCCCTCTCACATGTACTCCCACCATGGTGATGCCACCTGCCATGAAGTCTTCACCAGAATAGGGCCAATGCCAGTGTCATGGCCTTGAACCTCCAGAACTATGAGCCGCATAAATCTCCTTTCTTCATACATAATTAAAGCTCAGGAATTTTGTTATAACAATGGAAATTAACACAGAGATGCTCAGATTTAACTGACTGTCTCCATTCTAAAATCAATTTAAAATGATAATTAAAGGAATATGTCTAAAACACATTTTTCCTGCCATACAAATTGCTTTCATCAAGTTTTACATATATAACCATACCCATCCACAATTACAAGTTCACACACACACACACACACACACACACACAGTATAGAGGGTAGCAACATTTTTTTTTTTTTTTTTTACTATGCACTGATTTCCTTCAAGGTAATATAAACTAAAGGATTCTATAGTCTTAAATATATCTGAGTATTTATACTTTTGTTTCAGTCATCTGATCAGTATAAATGTTTACATAATAGACTAATTTTGTTATCAAAATTTTTCTTGGTGTTCCTCAGAGAAAACTGTGTTCCCCTCTACAACGTTCATTGTCCCTCTCATAACACTAATTTCAGCATCTTCAGTTCAGATCGCTGATATCCAATATAAATTAGAATTAGTCCATGTCAAACCTGGCAAGTTTTTATATATGTCTAAAGTCCACTGAATGCAGTAGACTTTATATATGTCTAAAGTCTATTGAATCCTTATTAATATTCCAAGATCCATAGTGGATGCCTGAAACTGTAGATAGTACCAAATGGTACATATATTGTCTTTTCATATACATACGAAGTTATGATAAAGTTTAATATATGAATTTTCACAATAGAAGATTAACAGTAACTATTAGAATGATTACAACAATAGACTGCAACAAAATTTTGTGCTTTAGGGCTGTTATTACATAAAATAAGATTGTTTTAACATAGGCACTGCAATACTGTATAACTAATCTGTAAACCAAGACAGCTGCTAAGAGACTGATACACAGGTAGTGTACACAGCATAGACACAGTAAAAAAGAGAAATGTTTCTTGTCCTGGGCAGTATGGAGTGGGACCACATGAGATTTCAACATGTTACTCAGAACAGTATGCGATTTGAAATTTAAAATTATATATGTCTGGAATTTTCCATTTAACATTTCAGAGCATAGTTGATCATGGTAACTGAAACCACAGAAAGAAAACTGCAGATATGGAGTGGGGGGCAATTATAAAGTGTTTTCAAACTTTTGAGAAACAGCTATTTATTCTTGAAGGGCTGAATACAAACAATCTTCAAAGGAATTCAGTCTAAATGTGCTACTAAGATCTCATTACAAGAAATTTAATGGATTTTTACACTTTTACAAAAAAAATCAATTAACCACTTTTTTGTTTCTCTTTTCAGAGAATCTTGATCTACATGGGGAAAAATAAGGAATACAAATAATAATTAAGTTTTTTAGTGCTTTTGGACCATTGGTGGCTGAGAAAATCTGATGAAGATTATAAATCCTCTTCCTAGGAAAACTCACATATACATGGAATTTAGTATTTAATTTCAGCAGTTTCATATATCTCTTGAGGACAGTTCATGAGCTCTAGGTTATGACTTCATAAACTAGATGCAAAAGCACAATTAAGTGGAAAAATGGGCCAACAATAGTAATATCACTTAAGGCAAAATATGCTTCATATAAACCAGGCACGGTGCCTCACACCTGTAATCCCAGCAGCTTCAGAGACTGAAACAGGAGGATGGCCAGTTCAAAGCCAGCCTAATCAATGGCAAGGCACTAAGCAACTCAGTGAGCCCCTGTCTCTAAGTAAAATATAAAATATGGCTGGAGATGTGGCTCAGTGGTCCAGTGCCCCTGATTTCAATCCCTGGTATTCCTCCCAAAATATGCTTCACATATTACCCATTATTACTATAAGAAATATTTAAAAACTTTGCAATTGTATATCCTCTGACTTAAATCAATAAAACATTTTAAAAGATCTGCAATATGTTTTTGACACAAACTCTGCAGAAATATATTTACCTACTTTAATTGTGAATTTCTTTTGATATAAATAAATACCTTTCTTATTATTTTAAATAAAGCTTGCGGAGAGATTATGACTGTGTAGACTTGAACAGGGCTAAGCAATACCTTTCATTTATGTGTATAGTTTTATTAGCATCCTGCTATTGTTCAGGGTCTTAAAATGTTATATATTTTTCCTGAGTACACTTGCCAGGTTCTTTTGCCTTAAGGTGTTTTTTTCCTGGAACTAAAAAGACTTTAGAAAAAAATGTATTTCCACATAATACCTGGTATAGTTCCTTTTTATTGGCTTTAGCTATATAAAAATACATGGCAAGGTGATTATTAATTACCTATGTATATGAATAATATCAGTACTACTCTTATATTATATCTGTAAAACATCCTCTTCCCTTAGAATACTAGAGAGTATTCTGTAGAATTATTACAATGAGCTCACTACAATGTAATCGAATGAAAATATCCATGTCCATGCATTGTGATTGATCCCTACTGTAACATTAATTCTTATTCTTCTCATGTACAAGGAATTTTAATTAAATCTACACTTAGGCTATGCTAGAAATGGTTTAATAGCTTGTGCTCTGAAAAGAAGGAACCGTGAATTCATTCCTTTCCCTAATGACTCTTGAAAACAATTGATGTACCAGACAGCAAAATACTCCGAATAGAAACATTGAACCTAAATGAACTTTCTCTAATTTAGAATTTTGTAGCCTTAGGATTTTGTTTATTAATTTTCAATAAGTGTTCTGTGGAACAAATTGAAAGAGAAATTCTCATTAGGTTCCTTAATCTTGTACTAGAGAACACATTTAACTGAAATAAAAGTTTTTCTGCATTTTCACTATGTTGCCTAGGGACTCCACATTAACACTGTTCTAGAGGGAATTCAGAAAAATGTATAAGATTGAATGAAAGTCTATTAATCTAAGTCTGGGAGGGGCAGTAAAGTATTAGAGATATTATTTTATTAACCAATTATTTATCCAAAAATTACAATAAAATGTAGATTTAAATAATGGTTGTTAAATATTTCCAGTTGGTAAAATGTGAAAAAAATGAAGTTTTATTATGACATTGAGACAGAGGAAAAGAGTCATAAAACTATGTAAAAGAATGTGCAATTAATTAAACATTAATTTAAATGTACACATAAATTTTGCAATTTAGTTTAGGAGATAACTCATGCACAGTTAACTTTAAACACACTGGAGTAAGTAGTAAATGTTGTGAAAGTTTAGAAGATAAGAGGTTATAGTTGGACATCAAAAAAGGATTCCCAAATTTAATAATATGTGAGCAACACCTGGAAAGTATGGATATGAATTGGCCAACAGATGATGTGAGAAATACATTAAAGAACTGTGAATCAAGAAACAGATGTAGAAACACAAGGGTATTGTGAATTAGTGGGACATTTAGAATTGATTATAGGGAATGATGATAAGACATTATAAAGTAAGAAGTCTGAAGTCAACACACAGATTGTCTTGGGTACTAAGCAAAATGAAATGATCTTCATTCCACAGGCAACCAGCAAAGAGCCACTTAATGAATTTCAACAGAGTGTGTCATGTTCCAAGGCAGCCTCATCCCCACATAGAGGCAAGAAGCAAAGGGGCTGGATCTTTAATAAACACATATCCCATCACATTCTCAATTATATTATTTGTAAGAACAAAAGCAGTAGTTTGAAAATGAGCTACAAATAGAAGCATGATACATGAATAAATTAGGTTTTTATTCTACAATGATGGTTGGTGATAAATATGAAATACTCAACATTATAGTAAACAGCATTAGTATATTTTTCCATAAAAAAATAAAAAAAGGAAACCGCACTACACCCAACACACTAAAAAAAAAAAAAAAATAGAAATAAAGTGAGTTGAGTACTACGTTTAAAAACACAAACATTTAGTAGGTCTGTGGGATAACTTTCTAGAGGATATAAAGTTAGTTAAACAACAACAAATCAGTCTTGTTTATTTCTTGTCTGGCATAAATCATTCTCAGACATGGGTAAGAAGCTAAGATGCATTTTGAGGCATGGAATTGAGACCCTACATAAGAATTTGAATTGAGACCCTAATAGTTACCAGAAGATTATACTTATGGACACAAACCTTTGATTATGTAATTTTAAAATTGTGAAAGTCTTACCTCGCACAACAAGGTCAGCTGAAGCTGAAGAATTGTCCACAATTGTTTGAGCAGTACATGTGTATCTTCCGGCATGTTTCAGCTGGGCATTTCGAATGAGCAGCTCACCATTGGCATCCAGCTGTTGGCACAAACAGCAATCATTCCAATCAGTACATTTTTCCCCCCACAAATTATATGGCATTTAAAATCAAAAGGTATTTTTTTCTCCCCTGACAAAATGAACACCATTAAAAGACATCTAACTCAATTTACACGTGAAGCTTTGGCTTTTCTGAGAAAAAAAATAAAGTGAATTAACTACTTAAGGTCCTTTTCAGATTTAATATACTTATCATTCTATTATTTCTAATACTGGAGAGCTATACTGGGAGAAAACCAGGAGATAAAACTATTTTATTGATACCATTTAAAGGTCTCATAACCGTAGTGTTAAGTGTCAACATGGATAAATAAATGCTATGTGGCTGAAATTTGCTGATTTTGTTTTACAAAGCTGATTCAGTAGTCTGGTTTCAAGATGTGCCATAGTTTATTTCACAAAGATACTAAAAGTTGGTAGAAACTGTCAAAATGAACAGTTCTACTAAAATGCTTTGTCACCAAAATGAAAGCTGAATGAGGATTTTTGTTGTTGTTATTCTTCAATACTCTATTCACAATGCTCTGAAGAGTGTTCAATGAGTATTTTTTGAAGGAGGCTTGCGGGAAGCTTACTTGTTAGGATAAGGCGTTATTTCAATGTAATATCTAAAAATAGCTAGCATTTATTGGATGTTATCTAGTCTGTAAAAGGCCTAGGCTATGAATGCATACGCATTATTGTCATTTCATTCACTTTGATCACGACCCTCTGAACAAAGTCTAATTATGTCTACTTTATTAAAAGTAAGAGGGAGACTAAAAGAGTGGTCAAATAATTTAACTAAGGTTTCAAAACTTTATTTTCTGTTTTTGGTTTTTCCATTTCTTCACCTTTTGCTCTTCAATCAATTCTAATCTGGACCTCATCCCTTTTCCTCACTTTACCTAACCTTCCAAAGGCATCTTATCTTCCTTATCAAAATACTCAGCTTTTCTAGTCACCTGTAACTTTCTGAAAACTTCAAAGACATTCTTAAGCCCACCTCTTCTCCAAATTCTTCAAGATTTCATCATGGATTCTTGAAATTATCCATTGTTTTCCATTACTACTGCTTCTGCCTTTGACCAAACTACCAAACTCTCTCCCCAGACTTATTGGATCCTATTTGGTCTCATCAGCACCCTTGCCTGACTTCACTCTTTTCTTCACCTGATACTCAGAATGACCTTTTAAAAAATGCAACCATACTCAAGTCACCAGTCTGTATAAAAGTGAAGAAATTTAAACATTTAAAACTTCCTCTTCCTGGAATACAAGTCGTAAACCACTCTAACAGACAACCTGCTTCCTTCTCAGGGGCTACCACCTCACTTACAAGCTGCTCTCCAGGAAGAGCGTTCCCTTCTTAGGACCACAAGGGCAAGTTGTTGGGTCTTATCTCTAACTCCCCATGGTATTACAGCTCCTAGAAACATGATACCCTTATACTCTACCCCATCACCACCTTCACCTAAATAATGCAAACTACTCCTCAAGCAACCTTCCAATTTTCTCTGGAGCAAACAGTTTCCTTGCCTTGTTTTATCATAGCACTGTGTACCTTATGTCATATTACATATCTCAATTGCGATTAAATATTTATGCAATTATGCATCAATCTCTCTGGCAGATTATTAGTTTTCTGTCAGTAAGATCCGTGTTGTAAGTCCTTATGTTGTAGACCCCTAGGCTGTATGTGCTGCAGTCCCAGGACTGGCACTGTGCCAGGAACATAATTCTACTAAATGCACATGCTTGAATGAAGTAGTCAAACTTATTAAGTATTTGGTCATTTTCTTTTAAGATAATATATATTCACATCTTTTTAGCTTCAATCAGAATTACGTTAGTAGATATGTAACATGTAAGCTCATGACAATGACAGTATTTCCTAAACACATTAAAGAGGATGTTCTTGGTGTTAGGTTGAAGTACACACTCCTGTTACAACTGAAGAGCCTCACCTGCCCCATCACATGGCTAACCTCAGCCCACATTTGAGATGCCCCTTCCTTCTCCAGAATTCAAAGCTTCAGTCAGGTGTTGGCCTTGCACATTTTCCTTGTCACTATCCCTTTCTAGTATAATTGTGCAGCAGTTCATTCTTTCTACTAAACTGTAATTCTTTGAAGGAAGACTAGATCTTATTTATTATTACATATAATATACTTAACGTCATATCTGCCACACGAGATGAAATCAACAAGTATTAAATAAATGAATTAATAAATACTTATTATCTAAAATGACATAAATATTTTTATCAATTTTAACTTAATTAATTTTATTTTACTAATTTCATATGCATTTTTCAGTTCAGATAATTATGCTATAAGGTAGCTACATCCATCTCCTTAAGATCAATTCTTCATGAGATATTTTTCTCATTTTTAAAAATATTTTTTTAATTTGTAGTTGGACACAATACCTTTATTTTATTTCTTTATTTTATATGGTGCTGAGAAGCAAACCCAGTGCTAGGTGAGCATGTGATAGGTGAGCACTCTACCACTGAGCCACAACTCCAGCCCCTATTTTTCTCATTATTTATATACTAATTTCATGAGAGAATATAAAAGTTTAGGAAAAAAGGAGCATATTTATAGGAAAAAAGAATATTGTTAATACTTTTTTAGAAAAATGAAATGTAAGGTCTTTTTTAATCCAATTGTGTAGTAAGAATTTGGCATTGCCCAAAGAGATTTCTGGCCCTTGTGTCAGCTTCTGAAAGGAGACTTCTAACATCCTTCTTTCCCTGGTGGTCTTGGGTTATACTGGATGATCTAACAATATGATTTAAGTTGGAGGTTAGCCACACTTGTATAATCTCAGAGTAAAAACTGGTCATAGAGTAGGGATTGCATAGTCTAACAGTGAGATCTTGAAGGTGGGAGACAGCAACGGTTGTAGAGTCTTAGAGGGGGATGGATGATTGTGCCAGAAAGATGAACATTGTGACATAGAATAGTGGTCTTTGATAGCATGGTATCAGTGAACCTAGAGATTGAGATTAACCATGTGGGCAACCCACCAATCGTGCCTACATAATGAATCCCTAATAAAAACTCTGGATATTGAGGCTCAAGTAACTTCCTTGGTTAACAATACGTTGTGCATACTACCACACATCAAAGATGGTAAGTAATGCACTTTGATTTCTCAGGGAGAAGGTTATGGATACTGTGTTTGGTGTTTTTCCAGGACTGCCCTATGTTCCCCTGGTTGATTTTAACCAGAATCCTCCTTCTTTAAGAAACTGTAACCACAAGTATAACCACTTCATTGAGTTCTACACATCCCTTCTACTGAAGGATTGAACCCGAGGGTGGTTTTGGCAACCTCTTGAACTTTGCAGTTGAAGTCAGGAGTGAGGGTGGTCTTGGAGACTGTGCCCAATTTTGTATTTGACCTAACTCCTCATACCATACTAAATAGAATTCATTTACAAGAGGAGATTCAATATTATTTTATTACTTATATTTAAAAAATATTAGAGGTAAGCAGAATGTAAGGTTCTGTATATGAGGAAGGTGATTATAGGGGTTTTTCTTAAACTATAATAAAAGCCAATTGGCACATTATCTAAGTAATTTTCTAGTGAGGAAAAAATCAAAATAATATAATTATAGCAAAAAAAATGGACAGCATACATTTATGAGGCTGCTTATATATGTTTTGACATCCTTAAAAGAATGCACTGGCTATTCAATATTTATTAATAGAAATGTGTTAAGTAAAATGTTTTTAAACTATTATGGCACAAGAATACTAAGAATGCTATCATATTGAAAAAATAATAATGTTCACATAAAAAATTTACTCTATTATATTCTTTCCTTAAGTAAACTCAGTACCTTGATTGCTTCAGATTTCTAGATAAAAGATAATCAATCCTGTGAGCTGGAGACTTAGCTCAGTGGTAGAGCCTGTCATTTAGCATATGCAAGACTGAGTTCCATCCCCAGCAGCAACAACAAAGATTATCCTGTTATTAAACTTCCATTATCTCATTATAAACTAACCTATTCAATTAAAAATATTTTCTCATACAATGTTATAATAACAAAACTAAAAGCTAATATAAAAATGAACAAGAGCATTAACATTGCTTCTTTAAAAATAGTTATATATCTGATATTCTTTATTTCTTAATGAAATAGTTATCTTTCTGTTCCTAAGTTTTCAGTGTAAAACATAATACTGTTTATGTATCCATTTATTTTATTCTGATAGGAACGGAGTGGTCCTTCTTTTTACATGGGCACATGTAATAAAAACAAACTACTTATGTCCTCAAATATTTCATCAAATCTAAACTTACTAAATCTTTACAATAAACACTTTTACAACTTTCAATTAAACTATTCTAGAAGTTTAATACTAAACTGATTTTAAAATCAGCTCTGTTTTCAGCATTTGGTTTTAGGAACATAATGATAGTTTACTTGTATAAAGCAATAATAAGTAACTTCAAAATTTATTCTTATTTGTTATTTATCTGGTGAAAATGTAGTGCTACATTTCTTCAGAAGGAAGCAAAGGGAAAACATACTATATTATTTCCAGTATAGCTTTGTACATAGAAGAGCTTTCCTGACAATTTTATAAATGCTGCTAGCACTTTCCATACCTCAAGAGAAGCTGAGGTTCTCAGTGGTTGACAGAACGCTTACAAAGCAAGTAAAGATCATGGGCCTCAGCACATTCTAGCCACAAATTAGATACGAATGCTCTCTATATTTTCACTAAAAGCCACAGCTTGGCTGAATTACAAAATTCTTCCCTTCATACGAGGAGAGTTGAATCACATACTGGAAATTGTGATAGCAAAGCTCAGGGATATTCCAAAGTGTGTATGTGGTTGACCACTCAGAAGTTTCCCAAGTTTAAGTCAAAAGACTCCCAACGTACAAAGACCCATTCTTCACTCCTCCCTCCCTTGTATAATAACTGCAGAATAATTACTGCAATATAAATGCATCTGATTACTAATTCGT